AGGGGGGGGGGTTTCAAGGGAAAATATCCATGATATTTGGCGAAGAATGTGATCGCTGTATTCATTCCCCTGCAATTGCCACCCATCATGTGTGAAAAAAGAAAGGATTTTCTTCCTTGAACACACTGGGTTTTTAAAAAATGTTAACTATGGTTTAAAATATACACTGTACCTTCGAAATCGGAATGTGGTTGTCCTTCTTTTTTTTTTCTTTTGAACAAGTGTTTTACGACGCTCGCGACTGCATTAAGTCATATTGCTGGACGCATTAACCATTTTCAGTTGGTAAGAAATTTTGAATTTTGCACGGGTGGCGGCCGAAGCCTACTCTTATCGATTTTGGACCACCAAGTGATCGTTAACGTGCACAATTTGCACACGTGACCTCGGAGATTGTTCGCCCTCATCCGAGAAGGCTAAGTGTAGATCTTACCAACCACAAGATCAGGGGGTGTGGCTGAAAGACAACAGTAAGAAGGAGCCAAGTAGTAGCAGTAGAAAGGCTGCAGAAAGAGTCAGGAGCCCAGAGGAGAGGGCAAAAGCGGTGAGGAGGTGGGAACAGACAGAAGAGACGAAAGCAGACGATAGACCATTGTTAGAGAGCAGAAACGGAAGTGAAAGGGTACAACGTTAGAGAAGACAATTTTCCACCCCTATCCGATATCGAACCCGGTGAGAGGCGAACACCCAAACCTCTAGACCACGAGAGCCCCCAATGTGGTTGTCTGAAGGCATGGAGCCCTACGACGCAGGTAAAAAGGTCACATGCATAGATCTACATATGTGAGGTGTGCCGACAAAATGAGTTACTTCTCGGATTTGAGCATTATGGAAATTGATACATCAACTTGATAGGTGAAGTTTGTACAATTTGTGAGCATGGAATAGTAAAAGACACAGTGAACTTGAACAAAATGACATCAATTGTACATCTATAAATCTGACCCCAGTGTCGATTTTCAGCCGATATCTCCATTCTTGGATCGTGAGAAGTAACTCATTTTGTCCGCACATTTCACATATGATTTTTTTTAAGTTGCGCTGTAGGATGAAGAACAACAGTCAACTACTCATGAGATCTATCAGAGGACCGTAAAGAAGAAGAAGATTTCCCTATAGGCCTACACCCGTATACAAAATATACATGTTTACTTATAATATAACCGCTTAATATGTATTCAGTCGAACATGCCATAAGGCAGACCTACGTAAGAAGGAAAACTGTCATAACGGAATCTCCCAGCCCCCCCCCCCCCCCCCTCACTGAAAAATTCCTTTATAATTACCTCTACAAAACGGACGGAAACTGTCTTGTCCGCTTAGCTCTGATTTGAAACAAAACAATCAAGTTGATTCCATCAGCTCTCTAAAATTTACACCGTACTGCTAAGTGGGGAATGGGAGTTAGTTGGGGTGCAATTTGATACGTATTTCCCCATCCATGTGAGCCTTTGCGATGATGTGAGTGTGAGACGTGAGCAGATGGTCAGGGTGGTGTATGAAATCTCACCAGTGCCTGCGAAAGTGCTCCGGTGGCGCTCCAGCGCGGAATCTTTTGTGGGTAGCCAGAGGCCAGATATGTGTGAAATTAGTTGGACCAATGCCTCCGCCCTGATCGTACAGCCAGCCGAAATAAGAGTTGCTCGAATCGTTGTTACATACACGGAGGGGAGGGGGACATTGGTTGACTGTGCTTATTACACCAATGGGTGGGGCTATCCCGAGGAGCTTAGAACTACATGTAATACTATTATTTTTAATCTCCTTGGGCTATCCCAACATTGTGAAATTAAAACATCAACATTTATTATATTATGCGACCATGCATCAAAATAATAGTTCAAAATCATGATACATGTATTTGTTCGGAGGGAAAGGAGATATTCATTCGTTTCTGCTTTTGATAGATTAAACAGTGGTCCAATGAAATGCGAGCACTGGTGGCAATGGATAATTAAGAATCCTATGCATGCCATTATCAGGGAGGACAGCAATTAATAGGTGTGACGTTTTGACTACTGCTTGACAACCCGACAGGCGACCCTTGATCCCACAGGCTGGGAATCTGACCGCCCCCCCCCCCTTTCCATTTACCCCTAAATTCCCCCAAAGTCGGAAAAAGTATTCTACGGTAGTTTTTCGTTGAGGTTTTTTTTCTGAATTCCTTGCGATTTCGTCTTAGACAAGGTTCGACTACATATTGAAATTATTGAATAATATTGAGCGTGTGTGTTACGTTCCACACCTCGACGCTCAGATGAATAGCATGAGAGCGTATGGCTCCTCACCCACCAGTGTTTTAGCTGCTGAATTGTCTTAAAACTCATTAGCAATGAAAAGTTATAATCCCCGAACAAGGCTAAAACGCAAGAGCGGAAAAAACAAACAATCCCCCCCCCCCCCAAATAAAATAAATAAAAACCCAGAAAAACAACCCAGAACGATTGGATGTCAGCTACAAATTCAACATAAGAAAGGAAAAGCTGAATGAAAGGGTTCTGTTGGAAGGATGTCAGATATTGGCCTGCCTGCCTGCCTGCCACAAACTTGCAAATACCTTATTTTTATCATCACCCTGAAAATGTCAATATCGTGAAAATAAAACAGCAATATTTAGTATATATGCAACCTCTGTATCAAAATAATAGATCTAGTTCAAAGTCATGATATTTGTACATTATTTGTATTCTGTCTTAATTCATGACGTGTCATACCCAAACCTGCAACGTGTCGGATGCGACACAGATTTTACCATTAGACACATTTTAACAGAATGTCTAGACTTTGGAGAGATCGGAAGGAAATATTATAAATGCAAGAAATTGCAGGATATTTTTTCCGTCGTTGTTCCCAGCAGAATTAAAAATTTTATAAAGGCCATTGGCCTTTATGCCGAGTTGTAGAGTGAATTTGATATTATTTAAAAATTTTATTGTTACTTAAAAGTTGTTTTAGATCACAAATGTATTTACACCGAATTTGAATATTTTAACTTTTTAGCATTTTAAAGTAAATTAGTTAGCCAGTCGTGAGGTGAACTTTCGCAGAGGTGAACAACTTGTGTTTCGCGCGCTCATATGACCTTAGCAGTTGCGAGCGCCGTAAAACCTTATACTATACATACATACAAACCTGCAACTCAGAGGGAAAATGTTGATTGATGCAAAGTTAACCTACGTTTAATTTTTTATACCTTTGTTGCCGCAATTGAGATGTGCCAACAGGATTCGAATTAAAATGGCCTCGCCGCAATAGATACACTGTCAGTAAAATTGACCAATTAAGTATTGTATATGTACTGTCGCAATTAAAAGTCCTTCCAATTCACTACCTGAAATTGCCGCAAATGAAATTTTCCCTTATACATGTAATTATACGCGTATAGGCTTGGGCATTAAAATTAATACATTCATTAACAATGTTGGTCCCAAAAGAGGACCGCTAATGTTTTAGTGGTTGTAGTTCACATTTTCGTTATGTTTTTCAAGCTAGAGCTGTGACTGACCACATGAAAAAAATACTGCAATTATAGTTTGTCGGGTAGGGGTGACGGGAGATTGTATGTGTGTGGGGGGGGGGGGGGTGCGCGCGCGCGGTGTGTGTGTGTGTGTGTGTGTGTGTGTGTGTGTGTGTGTGTGTGTGTGTGTGTGTGTGTGTGTGTGTGTGTGTTTGTGTACGTGAGTGAGTGAGTGTGTTTGTGTTGCAAAGGACCAAGATGGCGGTTTTCCCCAACAGTGGGCGTGACAAACTTTACGTTTACAACATTTAACCATCATATGGTAAATGTCGAAGCAGCGAAGTTCCAAAAAGTTAAATTCCAACAGCTATATTGACCACTGCGTAAGACTGACGAGCAGTCTATTTTGATCTGAATAAAAGTGATAAGAGTGAAAAAAAATGTAGACGTAGGCCTATCCATGGGACACAGAACTGAGGTAGTGGTTGGTTGGCGAGTGCTCAGGTGTGGTTTGCTTCTTCTTACCTATCAAATATATCTCCCCTCCTTCTTTTTTTGTGTCTGCTACTCTCTTGTAACACCTCTAATCTTCGGCACTTGTATGACCTTATTGTGTTGCAAGTGCCGTAAAACACTTGAAAATAAAGAACTTAGGTATGTTAGTGCATGACATTATACTTTTATGTATAGATCTACATGTACTTGATTCCTTTAATTTGTCAAACTTTTCTATTCTGCACTGACATTGTGGTCGAATTTAACTTTGTGCCAACATTGAGATCAATTTGCCCCTTATCATTCATAACAGAAAGAGAAAAAAAAAATCTGAGGTCCCACCGAGATTTGAACTCGGATCGCTGGATTCAAAGTCCAGAGTGCTAACCATTACACCATGGGACCATTGAAATCCGGGAGGCTCCCAACATATATAAAGATTGAGCCAACCACTGATACTCTTTGTACCTTAATTCATGATATTAGTGTAATTTCCTTTGAGCAAATATGATCCTCAATTTTCACGATAAATTCCCGTGTCGACTGGCTGTTCTTGATTACCCCGCTATTACAAATATTCTCCTCAAAATGCAACAAAGAGCCCATAACTTTGTTGGAAATAATTATGTCAATCTGTTCCGTAATCGGGCTGCTTGCCGGGTTGCCCGTTTTATGGGCTACCTTCTTACAATAAAACTAAGCATATCAAAGCGTATTTATGCGCCAAGTGTACTATTGGACACAGGAAGACTCTAATAAAAAATTATTTTTCTTGAGTTCATCTCCCATGTTCATGTGATATTACATTATTATAGGCCTAGGATACGTTTTGGCAAGAAACTTCAGAGGATCCGAACTTTTGGTTTGGCCGCCGGCCGCCGGAAAAGGAAATGCCAGATGTCACACAGGTTCATCAAAATAAAAAGTGGGATGTGTTGGTCTAGTTTATTCGCAGAGACTGCATTCGTTTCAGGCTAATTTTATTCTTTTTTACACTTTTTTTTCATATTATACACTAGACTCTAGTGCAACTAACGAGATGATGTAAATTCTGGTGTCAGCCGTGGATGTTTTTAACTTTTTGTAGTGTTGTGTCGACCAAGTACGGTAAATAAATCAAGGATTCGTTATTATAAATCGGCTTTTACGCTTGGCTTGTTTGTCGAGTGTCAGTCACAGTGAGTCAGTGAGAACACCGAAATGAATGGTGGAAATCATGGCGACTGCTACTGCTAGGCCTAGATCAAGGAGGTGTACTGCTACGGCTAATAATTGTCCGTTAACAGAGACAGGGAAAAGTATACAAAAGTGCCTTTCCTCTAACTGCTGGTGGAAAAAAGTTTAACTTTAGACCCAGTGACAGTGAGCCAGTCATGTTCTTCATGTGTCTTATAAGATTGATAAAGCGGACCAGATTTTGTAAGACGCTGAAAATCTGCACCGGTAAGTCACTCCGTGTCTCAAGTCACTCTCAAATAAAATTAGGTACTAGATTCTAGATTTAGATCTAGAATCTAGATCTAGAATCTAGATCTAATCTAGATCTAGATTCTAGATTAGATCTATAATCTAGATCTAGAATTTAGACTAGATCTATATTTATCATTATTAAATTTGATTTGACTGGTTGGCTAGCCGTACTTAAGTACGGCTAGACAGCTGGGCTAGCCATTCTTATTCTTAATATTAATATGATGGCTAGATCTAGATCTAGATCTAGATCTAGAATCTAGTCTAGATTAGATCTAGACTGACCATAAAAATAATAGACCTACTGAATTGTAAATATAAATTTTTTGTTTGCAGTACCTAAAGTTAAAGTATTTGTATTTGAGACGAAACCAGGTGCCTTAATGACAGTGCATGTATTTTAAACCTCCTGGCCCTGTTTTCTAATGTTAATAGGGCCTAAGATAAGTACGGCTAGACTGCCAGTCTAGCTGTACTTAAGTACGGCTAGACTTCTTGGCTAGCCGTACTTAAGTACGGGTAGACAGCCAGGCTAGCCGTACTTAAGGACGGCTAGACTGTCAGGCTAGCCGTACTTAATATTGATGGCTGAATTGTAAATGAAATTTTTAGTTTGCAATACCTAAAGTATTTGTATTTCAGACAAAACCAAAAGGTGCCTTACTGACTTGCATGTATTTGAACCTGAATAATTACTACATCTAGATCTAGATCTAGATCTAGATCTAGATTTAATGAGACCTGTGTACTTAACAGGTTTGAGTCGATAAGGCCAAACCTTGATCTAAGTACGGCTAGACTGGCAGTCTAGCGGCTAGACTCTCAGGCTAGCCGTACTTAAGTACGGCTAGCCACTTCGTAAATTATAGATTCTATAGATCTAGATCTAGAATCTAATGTCTAATGGCTATAGACTATGTTAGATTCTAGTTAGATCTCTAGATCGAGATCTAGACTAGGCCTGTATTGTAGAGAGAGACTTTCCATTTTCTTTTTATCATGTTTTTGGTAGGCTTATCTGATAAGAATCGACACTTAATTTTCCTTTCCGCTTTTTATTATTATTTTTAAACAAGAAAAAGTCTAAAAGAAAACCAACCCAAGCCCAAGTCATTCTCATTCTGTGTAAGAAAACTTGTCGTTTTTTTAATAGAATCTCGGCTGCTATTTATGCCAGTTTTTTAATGACGTATTTTGGGCCTATAAAAGCGAAATAAATGTTATTTAAATTGGTCGCAAATTGTTAGTTTTCAATTTCACGTTATTTCAGGGATCAGCCTTCCCCCCCTCGACCAGCAAGTACGTAATAGTTTTGTTGTAGGGGGGTCTGAAATTATGGGCTGTAACATCTAAACGAACCATTTGCGACGTTTTTTAATGCCAAAATCATGTTCAAAGCTCTTTTAAAAAAACTATAAAGAGCTACAAATTAACATGTTTTATGAGACGAGAGTGATTCCATAAAGCAAGTGGCTATTCTCCGGCGTCACGCTGCCAGTCTATTTATGAATTGCAATGTATTTGTCGACGCAGATTTTGAGATACAATCAGATCTGTAGGCCTCATAAGCATACCTTTCATTATTTTATCTATGATAATTGTCTAACGTAGCTTATTCATTTATTTGGGTCATCAATTTGCTTATTTTAAATAATGATTCTCTGTTTCTTTAAACGAACAAAATTGATTTTGTGTCTAAAATCCCTGTCTAGTCATATAGTATAGCTTGCTGTTTTTAACTTATCTCTTTATTGTTGTTATAATTTTCGATAAATTAAACGATATTTCGCGACTTCAGTGCATTCTTGTCGTATCTCCTTTTTTTGTAAACAGTGAAAATGTAACTTCTTCAAGATGCTCACTCTTTGTTATGAATTCGCGTCACTTGTGGTGAACACGTTTCTTCTAGCACCTAACATAATTCTAAATTGGAGGAATTGGGGCAGTTTGTGTCTGAAAAACTATCGTCTGTATCAATGGAAGAGGCACGAAGTGGTGAAGTTATGGGAATTTTTTCCCCGAGACAAACAGATGAGAGAGGCATGCAAATCTGCGCCGGTGCGCCGACAAATTATTAGTTATAGACCGGCGGCGTGACGCCGGAGAATAGCTTCCGATCTATTGACAGCCGCGAAGCCGGAGAATAGCCATTTGCTTCCATAAAATTACCAACTTGTCTTGTCTCAAGTGAGTGCAAGTGCAGCAGTGCAAGATCATCAAGATGTCTGATTTAGTGTGTGAAGTCAAATTCTGTCTCTCTGAATTATAATCTTGCACTTTTATTCCTCTATCTGTTGGCTTTCTTCTTTATCTCTAAGTTTGCCTAAAGCTGCCTTTCCAATGTTTTCTTTTCTTACTCATCCATGTTCTCTATCACCCACTTTTCAAGTTTTATGCAGGGTCATCATAATCTTTACACTTAGGGTTGTTGTTGATCACGGTGTGAAAACGGTTTTGTCCGATGAAGTTGGTAGCCTACAGTTTATTTTGATATTATGTTGGCAGCTTAGAACTGATTCACTACTTTTTTGGGTTTTTTTACTTTTGTGCTGTTTCAAAGCAATAATTAGGCTACTCTACACTGTCAAGCCACACCCGGTATTGCTCTCCGTGTTGGTTATATTATGCTTTACCTTCTCTAAAAAAAACCCATTCAAATTTGAGAGAAAGTAGAGAGAAAGTGACATGGTAGTATAAAACTGATGCATTGCTGAGAATCATATTTTCATTTTTCCAAAATGAAAGCTCAGGGAGGGAGGTGGTAGGGGCTGTGTGTATGAAATGAAAGTTACGCTCTTTCTACAAATATAATGTCAGTTTGAAGTGGAGTCAAATCAGTCTTCATGGAAACCTGTCATTATAACAGAATCTTCTCACTCCCCCCACGATAACTTCCTCTATAATTATTAACACCTTCGGGAAACAGGGTCAGTTCGTTGGTGCTTCATTGAGCTCAGTTTTGGATTGCCAGGGACACAGAGTAGTGCTAGATGTAGCGGTCAATTTCCTATAATTAGACCCCGTTTGTAAATATTAAGTTACTAACTATCATACTATGATATGTCTGAAAGAAAAAGATTTCTTTGTAACCAAAAATATTGCTGAATGTGAATCTGTGATTAGTTTGACGAAATGGTGGTCCATGCGCTCATGTGACTGTATTGTAATAAGAATGAGTACGAAATCTGTTTGTTCTTTTTCCTTTCTTTTTCCAAGTTCCGGAACATTCGAAAGGTGGAAATACTTTTACTTTTCTTTCTTTCTTTCTTCATGTTTTTTGTTTGTTTGTGTGTGTGTGTGTGTGTGTGTGTGTGTGTGTGTGTGTGTGTGTGTGTGTGTGTGTGTGTGTGTGTGTTAATTTCCATCGTACAGTTTTTCCTATATTAATAATATTAAAAGATAATTGAAATGCTGATCATATTTTCCCCTTGGACTTCGAGGAAAACTCTTGTTATTGACACTATGAATTGAGATGGCCGAGTGTTATCTATAATATATATATATATATATTGTATGGAGGTTGAAGTCTTTAGATTGGATGTTGTGTCTCGAAGATATGATGTTTGAATCTGGTAAACATTGTTAAATGAAGAAATTGTAATTGATTGTTTACTTGTTCAATGTTCTTTCTTTCATTGCTTTGGCAACACTTGTGTAAAATCGCTGCATGCCTTTTTTCATGGCATATTCAGTGATTGTTGCAATTTTTATTATTTTTAAAAATACTTTTTTATTTAAAAATTACTAAGTTTGTCATCTTTGCCGACTAGATCTAATTGTACTTTGAATGAAAAGTGTTTTGTGTGAGGATACACATACGCCCGCTATATCATCCGTTATATTATGTTCACTGTGTTTTCATAGTTTTTATGATGATTCATTATAATCATGTCTCCGATTTCTTTTTATATCTGATCTGGATGCTCTGTCTCTCTCCTCGTTCATCACTAGCCTGAGCCTCTTCTCCCTTTCCCTCTCTCGCAGCCTCGTCGTACGTCTTCATCGTCGGCGGACCTTCCTCTTCATCGTCGCTGTGCTAGTCATCACGTCGACGCCCCAGTCATCATCGCACAGTGCTCCACTCAGCACGCTTCTCGCGCACAGAACACACGACACACACACACGAGACTGAACCCCGCGCGAGGGCACACAGTATCACGCCTATGCTGCTCACTCCTCGTTTGGAGCTGTAGATGGACTCACCCTCTTCATCTTTACACCTCACGCGCAACGTTTGCTGGATCAATAAGTGAGACCGGCCCACGGGAAGGGGTGGGAAGCTCAGATCGGACGACCCGTGAGCGAGCGGCTGCGATATTCGGGATTTTGTTTTCTCCCCCCTTTTTCTTTTTGGACGGTGTGTAGCGGGGATATTTTTTTCGCCCCTTCAGTCGCCGCCACAGGCGCTTGCGCAAGCAGGCGTGAGGTAGAGATAGACAGAGAAAGAAGAGAGAGACAGAGGGAGAGAGAGAGAGAGAGAGAAAAGAGATATTCCGTGTTCGAGGTACGGTGGACATAACAACACTGGACAACATCGGACTGGACCGGAGCGGGCTGGGGCGGGCGGGGATGTCCCTGCTTCCTCCCCTCTACCTCCGTGGATGAGTGCGCAGGAGGGGAGAGAGAGACAAGAGCATGGAGGCTGGATACGCTACAACTGCACCAACCATTGACCCTCTAGCATCTCCTCCTCCTCCTCCTCTTCCTCATCCTCGCCCTTCCTTATCAACGACACCGCCTACGCCGTCATCGTTATTGTTATCATCACCGTCGTCAGTGCTTCCAAGGGCTGCGTTCACCACGTCGTCCCCTACCTCGCTGTCCTCCTCTGCTGCTTCCAACAACGTACCAACAAACACTCCCTCCTCCTCCTTCCCCTCCTCCTTCCCCTCCTCCTCTACCCTCACTCCTTCCCCAACAGCGATAATGCCACCCTCGTCGTCGACATGCTCCGTCCCAACGGCGGACACATTATCATCATCATCACCATTATCCTCCTCCTCCCCCTCCTCGTCCTTACCATGCCCACCCCAGTGGCAGGTCAGTATCCGGACGCCACGGGTGTCCGACACTTTGACGTCATCTCACCCCGAGAGCCGCGCGCTCTTACCCTGTGTCTCCTGGGACGTCATACTGTCCATCTACCGGGAGCTGGTCACTCTCATCAACAGGCTGCCCTTCAAGCAGAAGCTGGTCGTTTGCCTGGTGTTCCGCGGGAGTAAGGTCCGGCTCGACCTGGGGGAAGGTGAGTTATCTGGACATCTGCACCCTGTGACCCCGGCTGTGTTTAGGAGTGGCCACACACTGAGAGAATAGCGTGCGTCCTTTGTTTGTCTTTAGTCCTGATTCAAGCTCTTTACCCTTAGTTTTACCCTTAGCATAGAGTTCTTTCTTTTCTCCCCTCCCCTCCCCACCCTTTCGACTATACCTAGTCAAAGGAGTTAAGATATCTATCTATAGATGAAGAAGAAATATGTTGCTTGATCTTGGGTAGTAATATGTTTCCACCTTGAGAAACAAATCCATAAGGACTTACACATGGTCTGAACACATACTATTGTTTGTAAAGAGAAAGATTTTATCTAATGGAAAGACCCTCGTAGATAGAAGTATTCCCTTCCAACGCAACGGAGTATTCTGCTCTCTAGAAATATTTGATACATTTTCATTTTGTTAACTGTTCAAAGGTGGACGCTATTCTGTCTATATGACCATGAATGTTTTGCGCTTTTACTATGACTTAGCATGGTAGTGTGTACAAATATATTCAATGTTGTTTCTCATTGGAAGTTTTGCTTGAGATGGCTTTTTTTTGCCATGCGCATGACTATCCCCTCGTCTTGTTATCTGCTATGTTTTTCTTTCTCCTCATCTCCGCCTTTTATCTGTTGTATTATTTTTTGGTCAATTTTTAAAAAGTATGCTACCTTTAGTTGTCTTTCATTGTTTTTTTAAAGTATTTATATATATAAAACTCTCAGAGCAAGTTGATGACACTGATATTTTCCTCTTACGCTTTTACTGTACTGTGATGGCTGCTTCAGCATGCTTCGGCTCAAATTTATTCAATTTACAACAATAGCAGGTCATGAACTTTTCTGCAGATTTTATTATAATAAAAATAATGTGATTGTCATTAGCGGTCGAAGGGTGAGGGAGAGGCAAAGGTCACGAGACGTTTGCTCCCTTAGTTTTTGTTCTCGTTTAATAGCTATTCTTGCACAATATGTTGTATTGCTGGCTTTTAAAGTGTGCCTTTTCCCAAGTTGTAGCCTGCTTTTGCTCTCATGTATAGAGACCTTCTATCTCTTGTGTGAATAGAGGAAAGATTAAAAGGAGAATACTGTTTACAAATTGCAAATCAATGTCATGTAATTTCTCCCTTGTCCAAAGTTTCAAAGACTGAACAGTTCTAAAACAACTTTACAGGAGTAGTATTCGAAACTTGTCAAACATTTGGTCTACTCATCATTCAAGAGGGAGGGGGGAGAGATATGTCTAGTAAAAGGCATAAAGAATTCTTTCCCGAAAATGTCCTTGAGAATTTCAGTTTTTCACTTCTCAAATTAATTAGATTTTTTCAATTCAAACTGACCGATGTGCACATTTATTACAGTGTAAGCATAATAAATTGTTTACCGTTCTTTGTTTAAGTTCAGACTTTCATTTAATTGAGGCAAACCCATTTAAAATGTGTGTAGGCTAGCCACACTCCATATCACTTTCAATGTGATGATAATGGTACGATGTAAATGTGTACAGCATGGTACATCCATTTACGATTAGCTTTCTTAAATCAGTCTCAGTTATCCTAGCATTTACTTTAAGAAACAGGTACAACTATGGCTGTTCTATGACCGTTTACTATAGAACCATATACAACTATGATGAATGTTGTCATACATTATCATAGGAAGGAAACGGTTATGACTATACATGTCCTACTGCTTGCCATGGGAAGCAAATGCTGTCTATGGATGTTCTACTAGGTTACCGTATTTACCATAGGAAATGTATTCAATAAGTATGTTGTAACCCTATTCCTCACCTTCGCCTTAACCCAAAATGTCATTACCACCACAGTGAAAGATACAATTACAATTGATGTTCTCCTATTATTGATAATTGGAAACACACAGACTGTTTTCCTTACATTTAACGTAGGAAACAGATACAACTAGTGGGATCCTGTCCCATGATTAAGAACATTTCATGAACTTCTTATGTTTCGCCATCATAGTGAAAGCTACCGTTAAATGATCCTGCGTTTTTTTGGCTGCTTCAGCTTTTTTAAATATATATATAAACCTGGTTGTAATTTGTTCCATTTGGTTCCTAAAGTTTTCCTCAAATTGTATTAAGCAATATAATATGCAGTATCTTTTTAAATGTACTTTGTGTATCCTGCTGCTGAATGGCTTTTTTCACAGGCCTCTGTGGTGTAGCAGTTAGTGCTTCGCTATTGCTTACAGGAGATCCTAGTTCAATTCCCGAGTGAGGATATTTAAAAAAATTTGAATTCAGTCTTTTTGATGGGATGTTGTGTCCCTCTCAGGTTGGCCCTGATAGGCAGAGTGGGAAGCCTGCCTCCTTAATATTAATCTAGATTTTGTCAATGGGGGTGTAAAAACTCCTACATTAAATGAAATAAAAATTTGGCTTTGTAACATAGACTATTTGCCATCTCTAGTTGCTAGAATAGATGTGAGGTCTGAGATGCTTGCTGTTTCTGAGTGTAAGTTGATGGTTAATAATAATTGCTTTGTGTTTTGTTTTCTTTGAGTGGAATGTTTATTGAGACTTTCCTTCATGTTTTTGTTGTTGTAACCCGAGTGTGCTTTTAATTCCCTCTATAGCCTGAATGAAATGATAATCAGCATTTTATTATATATATATGTTTTATCAAATTCTTTTTCTTTCGTTCTTCTTTCCACTTTCTTCTTTCTTTTTTTTTTTTTTCTTCTTTTCTCTCCCTTTAATCATCTTTTTTTATGTTTTCCAAACCATTTATTGCTTCAGACAAATGTTGATCTTTGTTGAAGTGAACTTGTATTTGATGTGCCCAACCCAGTTTGCTCAATGTCGATTGCTATTGCTTACACACACACATTTTTTGTAGTTTTAGGCTCTGTGTGGATGTATTTGGATGTGGATGTATTAGCTGTTGCATGTATTATATATATTGTATATAGAGCTATAGCTTACATATATATGATATTTTTGCTGGGAATGTTTCTCACTCCATGGTCAATGCTTCTCTTCCATTTCCTCCTTGTGTCATTGTTGTGGAGGAAGGTTGTAATATGGATCATGTTACTCATCCTTTTTGTCTGATGTCACCATTTGACTCTTGTCATAGTACGTACGCACCATTCTATATTTACATGATTCTTTTAGTTGTTCGTGGTGAAGTGTGGTAGTGGAACATAATTTACAAGAGTTATATTTTTTGTCGTTTAAAAAAACACAAAAACAATAGTCGGTCTTCCCGAAGTTTGATTTGTTGCTTGTCCGAAATGTCTGTGGGTTCTCCTACATTTTACCGCGCAGAGTTTTTGTTGTGGTGGTTTTTGGGTGCTCTGGTGTGGTTTGCTCCTTCTTTCCTATCAAACGTCTATTGTCTTTATATCTCCCCTCGTAATCTTTATCTCCCCTCCTTCTTTTTTGTGTTTGTTACTCCCTTGTAACACCTCTAATCTTCGGCACTTATATAGCGTATTGTGTTGCTAGTGCCGTAAAACTCTCACGAAAAAAGAAGAGTTTTTGTGTGTTGAGAACTAGGGTAATTAATTTAGCGTGTTGATTCTTAGGTTATTATACTACATTTTGGCCCCTCTTCATGATGTAGTTCTCTTCCTCTGTCGTTTCTGTCCGTCTTCCCACCTCCCCCCCCTTCCTCCGCAAAAAAAGCTCTGACCGCTACCCTGTGGATGTGCTTATCTGAAGTGTCTCTAGATCTTTAACACTTTAATTAAACCGCCCGACCGAGTTCGTGCACACCCAAGACTTGGTGCTCAGTGCACACTCATGGCGTAACATGTTCATCATCATCAAGGGCCTCAGAATTATCTGATCTATTTATAACCTCCCTGATGTGCGCAAAAACTAGTCTTTGGTGTGCGTGACGTTTCATAAGTGTTTGTCAGTGATGCGCTGCCTAGGCTAGGCCTATATTATGTAGGATTATATAATTTGAGTTTGTCTGTGTTGCAAGAACGAAGTGTGCTCTGCCTCCCC